TTTTAGATAGTATATAATTATAATTATTATTTAAAAAAAATTTTATTCAAATATTTTTATTTTTAATAAAAGTAGATTAGACATGAATTTATAAAATTTTAGCAGGCAAATTTGCTTGTTTAACTGTACGGTTTAAGGGATAGTGGTCATTAAGGAGTCTGACATACAACCGCAAGGCTATATGTTTGACTCCCACTAGTAACATACTTGACCCAGTGTATTGTGAAAGCATAATTAACAATTTTTTATTTTTTTTTTCTCTTTCTTAACTTTTTTGCAAAACTATATACTTAATTTCTACTAGTATTATTAACAATAGCACAAATGCTTTTCTATTTTTAATTATTCTTTAATCTTCTTTCTTTTTTATATATTATTATTATTTTTTTTCTTTTGTTTTTTTCAAATTTATATTATTCTACTTTATTTATCAAATAACTTAGACTTAGATATTTTTTTATTACATATAACTTTATTTCTACTTTTTGTAATTTAAACTGCAAATATATTTAGAAAATATAGCTATAAAAAATCTATTTAATAAAGTCTGTTGGGAGTATGTTCAAGATCTGGAGATAGTGATATTAAAGATCTGGGTAACCAGGTCTGGGTAGTTCCCAAAGTATTAGCCACCTCTGTAGCATATTATCCTATCTTAATTCTCTCATTAACAGCCCTAACAGACTTACTACTAACTTCAAAGTTATACAACTTCTTAAACACATAAATTGGACAATCAATCTTAATCCAAACACAACTATACCTTTTACAATTCAAGAGGGGTCAATTACTCTTGAATCTATTCTGTTACCACACCCCAACTATACTACCTTTAAAAAACGATTACAGTATCACCACATACTTTTTCTTGACCAACTTACTACTTTTAATAATTATTGTCTTTTTGACTGGAAGCATATCTCTTCAAGCTCAATAAAATACCCAAAGAAAAAATAAAAAGTGTCGAATAAATAGTATTAAAAGTGCAGTGGCTAGTTGTATTATCACTATAATTTCTTAAATATGTATAGATTATTTTTAATCTAATAATATTGTAAATATCAATAAACTTAGTTGCCAAAAAAGGCCTTAATAATAATAATAATAATAAACAAGCTCAACCTATAGCTTTTGTTGTGTAACAAAAGTAATATTTGAGCTCTTTGAATAAGAGTTGTATAGGATTTTGATTATTAATTAGGTTTAATATTGTACAAAATACAAAAATAACAAATATTTACATATTTATATTTATATAATACAGAATAAACCATCAGATCTTTGTCAAAAACATGCGAAAATAATTATTACATACTGTAAATTTGTATAAAAAAATACGTAAAACATATTTTTGGTTTAAAATTTGTATTTTGAATTATTCTAGTTACACAGCATTATATATATAGTCAAATCTCTTTATAATCACAAATTATGAAAGTCAAATTTATTATACTTAATAATAATTTATTTTTTTAAAAAATATGCTTATAAAGAAAATAAGCTTATATGGATAACTATAAAGAGGTCTGGCTATATACATTTTTTAAAAACTAGCTAGCCTTCAAAAATTTTTTCATCAAACATTATTCCAAAATTCTCTTCTAGTGACGTTTTTATTTGATCATCCAAAACCTCCTCGAATCCACGGGGTCCACTATTATATATCAAACTAACAATAGCTTCTTTAGCATTATTTAAATAAAAGCTTAAAGAAATTAGAAATAATGTACTCTGAAATAGCCAGTAATTAAATCTGCTCTTCAATAGGAATCCAAAGTGCTCAAGAAATGATAGAAAATTCCTATTGTATGTTGAAAGTCGATAATCACTGTCATGGAATTGTGAAAGTTGTCGTTGTTGTTCAAATGTCTTAGCATTTCCACCCCAATTTGACCAATCTGGTCCAAGACCTTTGACTGCCCAATTACCCATCAAATTAATTCGATTTACGGGACTTCCAAGTTCTCTATTTAGTGAACGGACAATATTCATATTCCTACCAACAAATATTAATTCCCTTGGAATAAGTTCAGTGTCAGTAAGGAATTTACGGATGCGGTCTTTCACAGCCATCTGCATTTCATATGCATCTCGTAAAGTAGTAGACTGTGTAGAGGAAATATGAACTGCAGTTTGTGAAGAATAGGGCTTCATCAAAGTAGCGCTCACAAATAGGTCTGGTTCATTTATACCCCATTCTTTACAAATTTGGTTTATCATATCAGAGTCCATAAGAAAGAGCTTTATTATAGGTTAGTAAGTCAATATTTGTAAAATAACACAAATAAAGATATTGTCGTTATTTGACTCACCGACTTCCAAAATAAGCAATATTGATGACGAAATGCAATTGATTCCTCCATACATAAACCATGGTCAATGAGTACAACTTGATAATGCTTATTTGATTTTGAAGGATGAGGCCTAACTAGAACATTTCCTGGATGTGGATCAGCTGAAATTAAATAATTGAGAAAAATGTTATGTAATATTAAATATATGTCATCATAATTTAAAAAGGTTTATGTGGTTACCATGTACAAAGCCTAAAGTATCAAAAAATAATTAGCTACTGTATGATAGTATGTCTTTGAAGCATTATCCCTTTTGAACTCACCGCTAACAAATATTTGGAAGGCTACAATCAATATTAGAAAATGTAAATCAGATTATATCATCAAATTCGAATCATTATGGTATTAAGACAATAATTTAACCAACCAAAAATATCGATGACTGTTTTCATAACATCATTAAAAGTAAACCCGTACCTATTAAATTTATGTGGTCAGCTAATAAATATTTGAATTCATCTATACTGATTTACAGTAACATAAAGTACAAACCGTTGTAATCCTTCTCGATCCGTGATTTTTATGCCGTCTATCCATTCGGCGGTCAAAACTCGCTTGCTAGTTTGATCCCAGAACACTTTAGGTACATAAACTTTATCACTCAAGGATCTCTCCTTTTCAAATTCGGATCGTACTCTTACAGAATTCCTGCCTTCATTTTCAAAGTCAACTATTTTAATTGCCATATTTTTAGTTTTTTAAGTTTCCACATGACAATATTTATTTATTTGAAAGTTAAGAAAACATAACTAATAACAAGTGGCAATCGGATTATGACGTTAGCAATTACCTTCTTTCCTTAAATGTTTTTCTGTATAGTTTGATGACCACACAAGAGGGAGATCAAAAATGTGTTCATACATATGCATCAATGCTTTATATGCTATTAAATCCCAATCCTAAAAATTGAAGAAGTTATAAATAACAAATGTAACAAAAATTTAACACAGTAATAAATATATATATATATTTTAAATGTAAAATAACCATTTGCCGTCTTATATCTGGTTTCTGTATTTTGACTGCAACCGGGGTTCCATTTTTGAGTTTTGCGCGATGAACCTGGATATACAAAGAGGATAAAAATAAATTATTATAAAATAATTACCCGACGTTATCATAGTGAAATTTAGATATACTAAACCTGAGCAATGCTTGCTGATGCGATCGCTGTACGTTCAAAATCATCAAACATTTCATCAGGGTGGCAATTAAAGTCTTCCTTAAATAATTTGACTACACGATCGAAGTCAACTGCTGGACTATTATGATTATGAAACTCATTTATTTATGTAGAAGAAATTTTACTCTTTATAAAAATAAAAGTTGTAAATATTGAAATTTACGCATCATCGAATAATTGTTTAAATGTCCTTTGGTATGCTAAAGTATAATAAGAATAATAATTAAAGCAGTAATTGAAAAAAAAAAACATCTCATAAAAAAACAACTTGACTTTCTAAAATTACCTGCTGGTAAAATTGCTGATTGTACCCCTATCGCTTGGCCTAATTTTATGTAAAGACCTCTATAAAATTAATTTAAATAAGGTTTAGTTAACAACGTTTACAGGATAAATTATAGTTATACATACCCATTAGTTAGACAAACATTTAAAATTCTTTTGGCAACTCGCTCATGTAAATCCTCAATTTTATCTCCTTTTCCTGGTCGAAAATTTATTTTGTAATCAAGTCCTATACAAACGCTAATAGAATAATTATTTCAATAATATACTATAATCAAAATAATGAGTATTTTTGCAGATTAGTAAATTTACCCATTCCAGATTGTCAAAATATTTCTTTGCAAAGTCCTTGCATTAAATTTTTCATCAGCTAAATATATCCCTCCTATGGCGCTGGCAATAAAAGTAAATCTGCGGACAAATGACGATATCCCAAGTGACATCAATTCGATTCAATTCAATTCAATTCAAAAAAAAAAAGTGATATCTAAGGCAATCACAGATCGATATAGTCCTTTTATAATCAAGTAGTAACCAATGAAAATTTACGAGTTCCATCTTCAGTAAACGTAAGTATTACGTAGAGTGGTTACCAAAATGACAACAGTAAAAAATACCCGGCTGGTGGCAAAAATAAAGGCTGCATATGGTGGCTAAATTCAACTATAACTTGTAGTTGGTATAAAGATGAAAATCATCATTATCCTCCTCTAAGCAGCCCAAACGAAATAGAACTTTTTAAAAGCACTTTACTTATCTGTTGACAGTCAAACCATCGGCAACTAAACAATTAGCAATTGCAAGGATGATGTGGTCCTTCTTCACCGCCAATGAATCATAAAAATTCTTTTTCTGATAGCGAACAAGAAGCAGCTATAAACCTTTTTTATTAACCTTACCGAGATAAATTCCTTGTTAATCATGATTAGATTTTATCTCTAAATAACATTCTCCAGTGAGATTTATTTGGTCTTACATACTTAACTTCATTATCTAGAATATAAATAACTTTTTTTGTTTTTTTTGAAGAACCCAACTAGTGTTCGAGGCACGGGTAAAAAATTAGGCATGCCTCCAAAGGCATAAAATTTACTATTACAAATCAAGGCATGTTCTAAGGTATGCCCCTGTGCCTCGAACCCTAAATCCAACATTTAATGGTCAATCCATTAAACTTTTTATTAGTTTTAAGATAAATGCGCGAAATAAAATGGCACATGAAATTTTCATTGACAACAAAGATAGTTATGATCTTGTACTTTAGAACGTTGCATTTAGCATGTGAAGTAAATAGTTTATGACGTTAGCTTTCACTGTATCCGCGATTTTACGTAATTAAACATACAATCATGTTTGTTTGATTTAAATCTGTCAAAAAATGTTCGAAAAGTATCGCTTTACACTACTCAAGTTTGGACTATGCCGGCATTATTTAGGCCGGAGGTAGTTTTTTATTAA